TTTGTTTCAGTTCCTGATTTCTAGTCTTTTGGGTATTTATACTACCTTAGTCTGTTTTCTGTTGTTTTTACACTGGATGTAAACTGGATGATTTACAAAGAAAATATATTTATTTTCTCTGTTCTAAAAGAGATGGAAAGAGAGGGAAGAAAAATTGAACAAAATAGAAAGCCAAAATATTTCAATTTAAAGAAAATACTATTATAAAAATAATTATACTATCATGCATGTAATATTGATAATTCTAAATCATATTTCTGTTGCTAACAAGTTGTTAAACTTAGAAAAGGAGATTTCAATTAAAGATTGGTCCTTTTACATTTTTGTCTCTTCAGTATTAAGAATCAAAAGTAAACAAAGTATACTCTGATTTCTAAAACTGTATTACTCAATTTTGAATCATAGCCTCAGAACATTTAGCATATCAAAGACATTTCCAATGTACAGTTAAGTATTTACAGGCAGTAATACTTTTCTTTTCCCTGATCTTTAAATTTCACTATCTGATATAGCTTCTGAAAATATTATCTCCTTTAATATCTTTGTGTGAATAAAAACATAAAACTATATTATTAGGAAAACAAAATATAACAATTTTTCAAACTGAATGCTTGGATTTTTTAATAAAAAGGATTGATGGTAAAAGAGACAAAGTCAGAATTCTTTTTACAAAATGTTACCATGCTATTCAGGTATTGATACACTATGAAAACTCCAAAAATTTTTGAAAATTCTGTATTTTAGAGAAAACCTTTTCTAGTTTAAGCATAAAGAAATGCTTAGCTTTAAGTTCTATTATGTGATTCCTGATGTTTAAGTAATGATAATCCTTTAATGGTGCATATTCAAGAAGTTATGACTCAAGTAAAAAGAATTATAATTCTATGTATTCTAATGATATTCTTTACCCAGAATTCTAGGATCCTGTTGTAAATATGTTTGTTTTTATTTAAAACAAACATGTGGCAATTAATCCATAATTCTCAAACTGGTACATGAGACTTTTTCTGTGGTCCTACAATTCTGAAAACTTAATTTTTAAAAAATATTAATGAAAATCTGATAAACTATATATTGTAGAACTCTCAGGATCATTTTGTATGAATATATACCTGTGCTGCCAGCACTCAGGAAGCTAAAGGTGGAGGATTGATTTGAGTCCAAGCATGAAGATGTGAGTGTAGGTAACATAGTGAGACTTTGCCCTTTTAATATTTTGTAAGTTGCCCAGTTGCTTTGGAAAATTTCCCTGTGCTTTGCTACATAATCTATTTGATAAACAGCTATGTCTGTACAGATTTTACTGAATTTTAATGTCATCCTTTCATGACCATTCATGGTAGTTTTGGAAAATCTCTTTCTTCTGAAAAACTTTTGTCTTCTTGAGTTTTACAATGTTGATGAAAGCTGCAAATTAAGTTTATTTGTTTCTCTCCTCATTTTAAGTAGGGCAAAACTTTAGTTTCTTTATAGTCACTGTGGAAACTTTGGGGAAAAATGGAAGGCAATTTCTTATCATGCTTTTAAACTAAATTTCTGTCAATGTGACTGAAGAAGTGACAGACTTCTTCAGTCACATTGAGTATGTATCATTAAAAGATTATCATTATTCTTTAAAAAGTAATTTTGGCAGGTATGGTAGTCCATGGCTGTAATTCCAGTACTTGGGGGGCTGAGGCAGGAGGATCTCTGCAAGTTTGAGGCCAGCCTGAGCTACATAGTGAGTTCAGGGCTGGCCTGAACTGCAGAGGTAAAATACGTCTTCAAAACAAGTTTTTCTATCACATCACATTGTATAAAACATGGTCTAGCATATGGTAGGTGTTAAAACAACTGTTTATACGGAATACATTTATATCTCAAATAGCTAAAGAGTACAACTGTCAAGCCTTAAATGGGCTCTTATCTAATAAACGGTGTAACAATTTATTCTTCTGGATCTTCTTTCACTGTATAATCCACCAATCCCATTCTGAGTTCTCTGTTGTCTTCCTATTGGTTATTTATATATTTCTTCTCCTTATTCTTCACATAAAATATTTTTGGATTATTAATTTCTCTTAACCAATATATTTCTTCCAGGAAATCAATGTACAAAAAATACATTCATGTATTTAGAGTAAAAGAAGAAAGTGTTTTTTGTTTAAATATAAAAAAGGTGAAACAAAATTTCATAACAAGATAATAGAATAGCAGTAATTAATGCACTGCGTATTACCTTTATCTACTGGAAGTGCAAGATACAGGTATAAAAAATTACCTGATATTAGCACAAACCTTCCTTTTCTATGACTCAGATAGTAATAGTATAACTTGCAATTTTTCTCCTTTTCCCCTTTATTCCATCCTAATTTTTTTCCTTTTAAACAATTTCTTCCCATTTCACACTACCCATTGTATATTTTAGACTTTACTTAACCTTTCAATTTTGCACATCAAGGATACAATACAATATTCACACTTCTGAGTCAAATTTATTTCATTTATAAGTATTGTCTCAAGTTGCATAATGTTTTTAATTCTCCTGGAGAGAGACCAGAAGGGAAAATATCTGGGTCAAGTGGGACCTCTATTTCTAGCTTTACAAGAACTCTCCACACTGATTTCCACAGTGGTTATACCAGTCTGCACTTCCCAGCGTTTATTTGTTGACTTGTTGACAATAGTCATTCTTTCTGGAGTGAAATGGAATCTCAATGTTGCTTTAACTTGCACTTCTCAAATGACCAATGAGACATTTTTCATATATTCCTATTTCAACATTTTTTCATACATGTGTTTGTCATTTGTTTCTTCATCTGAGAAATGTGTAAACATCTGAGATAGCCATTTTTGGATTGGGTTTTGAATTTTGAGCATCTGATTGTTTTCATTTATTTACATGTTCTAGATAGAAGTCTTTTGTCTGAGGGTCAATTGGCTAAAATCTGTTCCCACTCTGTGGGTTGTCTTTTCACTCTTTTGATTATTTCTTTTGATGTACAAAAGCTGTTCAATAAGATGAGATTTCATTGTTTGAAGTATTTCCCATGCAGTTTGGAGTTTGTTCATGAATTCTTTCATTATATCTATGTCTTCAAGATTTCTACCGTCTCAGTAGATTTAGAGCTTCTGTTTTAATATTTAAATCTTTCCTTCATTTTTGACATTAGCTTAGTGCATGATGATAGACATGGGTCTAGTTTTAGTCTTTAACTTGTAGAGAGCCAGTTTTTCCAGCATCACTTATTAAAGAGGCTATTTTTCCTCCAGTGAACATGATTAATCCTTTTGTCCAAGATTAGGTGGTTGAGTGGATTTCTAGCTGTGTCTGCATCTTCTATTCTGTTCCACTGATCCTGAGGTCTGGTTTGTTTTGCTTTGTTTTGTTTGTTTGTTTTTTTGCCAGTATCATGCAATTTTACCACAGCACAGTGGCTTTGTAGTACAATATCAAGTCAGGAATTGTGATGCCTCCTACCTTGCTTTTGTTGCCCAGAATTGCTTTTTCTAATCTAGGTCTCTTCTGGTTCCAAATGAATTTTAGGAACGCTTTCTTTACTTTTATGAGGTATGTTAATGGTATTTTGATCCGAATGGCATTAAATCTGTATAACAATTTTGAGAGGATAGCCATTTTCACAATGTTGGTTCTTCCTATCTATGAACAAGGTATATCTTTCCATTATCTGATATCTTCTTCAATCTCCTTTTTCAGAGTAATTTCAATATAAATGTTTTACTTTGTTAGATTGATTCTTAAGTATTTCATTTTTTTTGGATACTATTCTGAAGGGTGTGGTTTCCCTCAATTCTCTCTCCACGTTGTTTATTGTTTACATATAGGAATACTACTGATTTTTACAAGCTCACTTTGTACCCAGCTATGCTACTGAATTTGGTTATTAAATCTAGACGTCTCGCTGGAGTTTTTGGCATCTTCTGCATAGAGTATCATGTCATTTGTGAACAATAATTTAACTTAGAAGAAAGTTTTGTCAGTAAGTCCTCTAGGTAGCAGGAGGTTGTGAGTTCAATTCCCCATACCAAAAAGAAAAAAAAAATTCTCTTGGCTGCAAAGTATGTCAAGCCAAAAAGATACTAATCTGGAAAAACTATACGTTGAGGATAACACTAGTTGCTAGAGACAAGAGTCTACAGTATGTTTCTTTTATAACTGGAACACAAATACCATAGTAACTTACCTAACAATACGTAGTCTTTTGAAAAGAAACTCTCTAAACAAACTCTCTTTTAACAGTTAAGAACTTGATTATAATCTCTTTTGTACTGAGTTCATATTTTCTTTCCACTTCCCACAAAAGCTTAATATATTTTGGTGTCTGAAAATACTTTAATCATTCTATCACATTTCTCTACAACAACAAAATTAAAATGTCCAAAGAGATAAATCACAAAATACCTTTAATATTGTTACGAAATTTCAAAACTTATCAAAGAAACATATGAAAATTATAATCATTATTAACTATGAAAAATAAGATTTTGCTGTAAATATGAATTGCATCATTAACAACTGGGTAAAGCCATTTTTGTTTAACCAAAATACTCTACAGGTTTGGAAGTTTCTTCTGTCTACAACCACAAGAGTACAATGAACTCATGACTCCACAGCTCAAGACTGAGCCATCTAGAAATAACCAAAGGTCGTGGCAACTCTAAGGAAACCGGGTACAATCCACAGCTTTGTCACCTCCTTGTCGCTTCCTAGTCCGCTTGTTGAGCAACATGCTGGAACCCGCGTTTGTCTGTGAATAAACATGGGACCTTGGCAAATCCTCAGATCCGCGCTTTGAGGGTCCATAACAAGGCGAGGCGTTACACCGCGCCTCCTAAAGGGGCACCTAAGTCCAGCCACAAGTAAGAAACAACGCGGTACATCCCCGGGGCGCTAGGAAGCTGAGCTCCAAGCACCACTCGCTGAGTGAAAGGGGCGCGCTAGAGGGCGCCACCGAAGGCGGCCCTCGGCCCACAGCCACCGCGACAGAAATCACTCTTACCCAGCGCCACTCCGCTGCCGCACATCGTCGCCGCCATGCCCCGCCCCGCGCCGCCGCAGAGACTCACGGGAAGCGTAGTCCGTGCCGCGCCCCGCCCCTCCTCCCGGAGCTTGGGCCCTCCCAACTCCCGGTTCCCTCAGGTCCCACTTCCGGCTTTCTCGCGTAGTCCTAGTGTCCGGCCCGCGGACAGCGGCTGCCACTGTACGGCTCCGAGGCGCTGGTCCTCCCGCCCAGGCGCGCTCTGGACTGGGCCTCCTCGCTGCAGCGCGGCCCTCGGGTCCCGACGAGGTCTGCGGGCCGGGTCTCGCGCGCGTTGCTGGGAAACGGGCCTCCCGGCGCCGCTGCCCCTCCTGCCCGGCGAGCCCGCTTCCCAGCTCCGGGCTCGCGGGCGGAGGGTTGGGCTGCGCCACCGCCGAGGCCGTGGCGGAAGACATGGGACTCTCTCCACGGTGTACCGGGAGCCGCTACCTTTCTAGGGGAAGCAGCGGTGTCTTCGAGGAAACCGGAAGCCCGCGGTGACCCCTGGCGACCCGGTTTGTTTTCAGGCCGTTTCCAAACAATTGGGGAATCGAAACTCAGCGGCCCTGGGGGCGGCCCTACGTCGCCTGGGTTCAGGGTGAGTGAATCGGTCGTGCCAGGTGTAAGCTGGAGGTGCGGCAGTGCCGGCACCATCCTCTCTGCTGTTGCGGGTTTAAAGAAGGGTTTCCGTACCCTCTCCTGCTCCGCTCCTGTGACTTGGCAGAGGCCCACCCTATGCATTTCTTGCCTCCAGGCGCAGCACCCCAGTTCTGGCAGACCCCTCCTGTCCACGTCTCACCTATTACTGTTCATTTTCTTTTTGTGCAGTTTGCTGGGGGACCTTCAGTTTTGTTACATTCACTGAGATGGCAAATATGTGAGAGGAAGGAGGGACATTTGACAAGAATGTCTCTGCCCAGACTTTAGCCCTGCACTAATTCCCAATACAGAATATTATTATGATTATGGCCTCGCTGTTTGTGGTTTCTCCGGTGTCTAGTCCACGTATTACTTCTCGTTTTCGGTTATTTCTTGTAGAAAGGTTAACACCTGCGACCCCCACGCCAGAGGAACTCGAGTAATACTAGAAAGTGAGATAAAATGCCCCACAAATGCAAAGCAAAGCATAAATTGCTTCAGACATGGTGTGTTGTGTTGGAAATACCCTAAGATGAACAAAGATGCTGAAGTACTAGGATTGAAATTTATCGTTAATCATTTTACACAGAAGGCTCTTTCTTTGGCATTTTATGTTGGATTGAACAAGATACTAAGGCATCAACTAAATTTCAGTTCTCTGAAAACTCCAATTCCCCAGTCTGTTACAATCACTGCCTCTTCTGTAAATTGGGAATAAGGAGTAATTCAAAGATGGTTACAAAATTTGAGTGTAACATTGTTGGTAAGTGGTAAATTATATGCAAACATAAGGTTTTAATATTAAATCGACAACATAGTGTAGTGAGAAATAACACAGGATTAGGTCAGAAAACCAGGATCTAACTGCTGGTTTTCCATGTATTCATTTGACAGTAGGTATAATAGGTTAAACCTTCTCCTCCTCCTGGTTTACCCTCTTGGTCTCTATAATAAGGACAATGCGCTAAGACACAGAAACATACTTTCAAGAGTTATGTTAGCCTTTGAATCAGCCACCTATGACTCCTTACAACTATAAAATGTGAAGGTTTTTTTCCATCTCAAAGGTTTTATGTAGATACTGTGAATTCTTATGAACAAAAGAGATAGTTCCCCAAAAGGCGAAGTACATTGCCTGGCATATCATAAAACACTCGATTAATACTAATTACCAATACAGAATATTATGATTATTAAGTAAAATAATGTGATGGTTCTTTAGTCCATAAAGTAATAAAACCAGTGTAGCTTTTTAGATTAAATAATTTTTCTGAATCAAAGTGTGGTTGTCCTGTTCTTACTAGAACATAATTATTGATAAAATTGGTAACATTCAATGGAGAATGGCTGCTAGAGTTGTATTGAGATACATTAAGAAAGGGATGAAGAGAAATAGACTGCTCTTTATGTTTTGCTATCCCTAAAAGAATCTTATAATTCTCTGGCCACACAAAACTGATTTCTAGTCTCTTCTAGTCTCACGCAGTTACTGAGTTAGTAGGGATCATAAAAATGAAAGTGAAACTTTTTATATTGTATATCTTATGCTGAATACTTATGCTGAATACATTTTTTGGGCACTTGCTGAATTACAGAACATTTTATTGCTAAGGTACATAGGCTAAGTGATAGGTTAAGTGATGCTCCCCTCCTTATAAAGATTTTCCTGTCCCAAGTTATTTTGTTATTAATAGAGAAAGAGAGCAAGAGTTGAAAGTATACCTCACTTTTATGTAAAACATTGCTGTAGGTCATCTGTTCACTTCATCTTTGTCCCATAGTATCTTCACTGATTGTAAGTTCAAGAATATCCTAGCTTCTCAAAGATAAAAAGGTAATGGAAATTCTGAACAAGAACAGAGGGCAGAGCAGAATGAAGCAAAGTGGTATGTAGGTCTTGCATCAAACTTCAGCTACTGTTCATATGATCAGAAGCAAATTTAGCTTTCCTCTTTGAACCTCAATTGTGCCAGTGATAATACCTTTCTCGCCAAATTTGGTGTAGACTTGAGAACATATATTTTACCTGTTATTCATTTTTTGGAACTAATATGAATTCCCTTCCATTTAGATTGACATTTTGTATTTTGATTAAAATTTTGCCTTCACAAATTAAGAAGGTGGCATCTTAGTGATGTAGTTGAACTCTACCATTTATAGTTGGCAAATTGTAGATTCAGACAGTTTGCCAAATATATAATTAAGGTGGCTGTTATGGTTTGTGTTTGGATGTCCCCCCAAAGCCTTGTGCAGTCATAGAGGTGGCTAAATCTAGTGTTTGTGATTGGTTCATTGTCTGTCACTGACATTGGTAGTGTGAGTGCTGTACCCACCCAGCGGCAGGTAGCCGGGCTACAATAGAAGGGAGGAAAGGAGGCCTGCTTTTCCTCTTTCCCTTTTTTGCTCTTTTCACTTTTGGCTGCCATAAACTGTTGCCCCTTAGCCATGCCACCTTGCCTTGGAACAAGCTGAGTACAGACTGAGCTAAATAAACGTTTCCTTCCTTCATTTTGGGTGTCAAGTATTTTGTCTCAGCAAAAAGAGAAAAGTAAGCGAGACAGTGGCGTAGCCACTAGTTTTCGGTTTTTACATCTTTCACTAGAATTTATTATGTCATAGACTTCTGCCTTGTCTAGACTCTTCCTCAAAAAATCAAGTTCATTTTGTGTTGCTTCTCAGAATGTGTAACAACACAGCTTGTCTGAGTTCACATTCCAATTTTGCCACTGACTTGTAGTGTAGCTGTAATTTTCATAGACTTTGTTTATAAACTAGAATAATAGTATCTACCTAAGAAATGGGAAAATGAGTATAAAAGGATTGGTTCTTGACATATGTGTGATCAATAAATGGTAGATATAGCAATATGCAAAGGATGGGATAATAATATTTATTCCTAGAAAAAAGAACAATATGATGTCAGCCAATATTTCTATAATTTTCTGTACCAGTCCCCAGTAGATGTAATATAAAGAACTGAAGACTGCAATTTAAGATCTTTTAAAATAGTTCTGATTAATAGTGTTTAAGTGTTCTTTACCTCTTATTTCTCTCCACTGGCTACAGGTATTACTGTTCTCTTTTCTACCTACTTTATCTGACATTGTTTTGGAATTTTCTATCATGGTTCCAGAAATTTTATTGTTATTAACAGTAATTGTCAGCATCTTTCACCTCAGTTCTCTTTCTCTTTAATTTATACTTAAATACCTGTATGAAGAAATAAAATACAACTGTCAGATGTATAAATTGTTTGTGTGGACTACATATAGATGTATTTGCTTTTAAGTATGCCACATCTAACTCCCTAATGCTACTGTAATAAGAATAGATGATAAATATGAAACTTTCTGTACTATTAAAAACAAAAGAAATAGAAAGTTAGATTGTTTTTACCAGTTCATTATATATAACTAACCTAGCCTACAAGTTTTCAAGAATTAGTTATAATTCAAGCTCTATAAATTATGTAACTTGTTGTATCTAAATGAGTGGTTCTGAAATTTGGTGTAGAACTTAAAATCACCTAGGGTGCTTTTTGAAAGTGCACTTTGAAATGTTCCCTCCAGATATTTTAATTTGCATAAATCTGCAGTGGAACCAAATAACCAATACTTTTTTTTAACATAATTCCTGATAGTTCTGATATTGCTCTACATATTCTTTCTTTCTTTCTTTCTTTCTTTCTTTCTTTCTTTCTTTCTTTATTTCTTTCTTTCTCATAGTGGTGCTAGCAATTGAAATGTTGGCCTTCACCCTAAACTCCATAGCCCTCCATCTTTTCTAGACAGGTTCTCACTAAGTCACTGAGTTGTCGGAGCTGAACTAGAAATTGTGATCCTTCTCCTTCTGCCTCCGAGAGTGCCAGGATTATAGGCTTAATACCTAACTTTAAAACACTGCTCTAGGTTGTCTCCAGCTTCTTGGAATGTTCCTTGAGAAAGATGCATTTCTTTGGATCATATCTCTGTGATAAATAAACATACATTTATTGTTGAATTTCATGATTAAGAGCAGTCTAAGAATATTTAAGTTTTGGAAATGACCACTGTCAATTCCTGTTAGATTACTTAAAACATTATCTTGCCTTCTGATTATTTTAATTCTTTTATTCCCTTGCAGTGCTGGCGGTCTAACTCGGGACCTTGCCTGTGCTAGGCAGGCAGTGCTGTATTACTGAGCTACATCCTCAACCCAGTAGTTCGGTTTTTGATAACAATATTGTGCTTATGGCTTTGTTTTTAAAAGCTTAATGGAAATAAATATTTGTTATTTTTAGAAAAAATTATAGTAAATAAGACTAGATATAGGGAATAATGTTAAATGTTAAAAGTACTAAGTATAGTAAGAGCTAGTTAGATTTTACCATTTATCTAGAAAAATCAAACTCCTTGGGCTAGCTAATTTGGATAGTCAGGAAGAGACATTTTATTATAGCAAATGTATGAAATTAAACCATTGTTTTGAAGCCAACTGCTATAGCTTTCTCATCTATTAGAAATAAGGTTGAAAGAAGATGAAGGAGGCTTATATAAGTAATAAAACCATAGCCTACTTTGTTACTTTTGAGCAGTTTTCAGTACAAAATAAGTATAACATCTGCCTTGCATTGTTTTTTTCCTAAAATCTTATTTTCCTTAGCTATGCAGCTTTTAACCAGAGATATAGGGTAGATAATAGAATGATCATACATACGTATTTTCACAGGGATAGAAATTAAAATTCTCATTTTCATTTATAACTGATTTAAATGACAGTTAAAGCTTAATAAAATTTGATGGTTACCTGTGGTGTGGTAAGTTGTCTTATAAAAATTATATGACTTTTAAATATAATTTTAGGACAGATAAGCAGTTTTTATATTGCTCTCAAATGTATTTGAGATATATAGAATACAAATACAGAATGGTATTAACTTGAGCTCTTTTAATGCAAATGTTTCCTTATACTTAGACAGGTCATCCATATGTAAACTTTTTGATCAAAGAAGAGCCAACATAGATTCATAAAATGTACAAGTCTCACTTTGTTAAAAATGGGTACTCACTTTGTTAAAAATGGTGTTGTATTGTATAAAATATTACCCTGTTAACATTATTGTACGAGCATATACACACTCATATCAAATGCTTATAAACCTTCTGTGAGGTTCCTAGTTTTATACTCCTTTGTAAATGTAAGATTTTATAAAAGATTAATCAGGAAAAGAAAATGTTAATAGCTTAGATTACAAAATCTTGAGTGCCTCTGTTGTTACTAATTATCTGATGTGAACCATGACCTTTTCTGGGTCCCACTTTTCTCATCTGTGAAGTAGGCTTGAACTTAATTGGATAGTCTTGAACATTATATGAAATAATACTTATTTTCAGCATACCATTAAGTAGTTCATGTTGTTTTATGAATCAGCATTGTTACTATAATGAAATACCTGAGATAGAATCCTTGTGAAGAAAAAGCTACTTTCTCGTTGTCATTGAGGTTTAAATCCAAGATCAGGTGACCCAGTAGGTATGGGACTTCTGATGAGAGTGTATGTGGGAGTAAACTACTTACATCATAAGCCAGGAAGCAGAAAGAAAGGAAAAGTACTGGACTTACATCTCAGAGTCCTCTTTGAGGGCACATCCTGAAGGATCTGTGAAACTCCCTTACGACTCCATCACTTGAGGGCGATGGCACTTAACCAGTAACCCTATTCTGGAGATTGGATCTTTGGATGGCACTTACCTAGATCATAGCAGTTGTCAATATTTTTAGTATATATAAATATTCTTTACATTGTGGCCATGTCTTTTTTTTTTAAGTCTACAGATTAAAAAGCAAAATCATTAGTCCCTATCGTAATTTTTCTTCATCTCATTTTTCTTCATCTTGCCTTTCTAATCGTACCTTGTGCTTTTCAACCTTCCTTCCCATACTCTGTAAGGTCTTTAAGCTTTGAAAACTATTTCTCCCCATTTCATACCACCAAAGCACATTTTATTGTTTCAAGTATATCACCTACAATTATAGTATAATTTTTATTTTTGCAACAGTCTCCCACCCTGGATTTTTGGGATAACTAAATTATTGTTTCATGATAAAAATGAATTAATATAGAAATCACAAACAAGCTACTTAGAACTTTGTGAGAAGCAAAAATGGAAAAGCTCAGATGCTTAGAGTATACAAACAGCAGGATATCTGTTTTGAAGGTATAGAGCAGTTTATGCTGTATATGTATCTTCAGCAATTTTATTTTTAACTCAGATTTTGCCTCTTCAGATTGCATCCCACCATTTAAGTAGCTAGCCATCTACTCTTCTACTTCTAAAAAGCAATATTGTGTGGGAGAATCTTATTTGCAGATACATACAGATATATGCAGTTTTCAGTATTAGAAATAACCCATATTTTTTTTTTGCAGAGCAAATACTGAAGGTTTTGACTAGCAACAGTAAGTTTGGGGTGATGATTACTACTCTTTTGGAATACAGTTGAAGCTAGAAAGGAAAAAAGTAAATCTTAGAAGAAGAAATCCTAAACAATTTATTATTAGAAGGTTGACGTAGGAGTTGTATTGGGAGGTGAGGGTAATAAGGGGGGAATTATAAAACTGAAGTTGTTACATGCATGTATAAAAATACTGCAGTGAATCACATTACTTTGTATATTTAATATGCACTAAAATATTTAAAAAGAGTAGTTTCTTAGTTACTAATATTTAAATTTGTATTTGTACATTTTAGCTACTGAAGAGTTGGAAAAATACATTTTTACTAACCTGCCTTGAATCCTACATAGGCACTCCAAACTTGGTTCCGTTGACAGGAATTGAAAGTATTTAGTTATAAATAAAAAAAGCAAAAATGCAGTCAAAGTAGACCAGCTCAAAAAGTTTCAAGTAACATTTCATTAATGAAGTAGGCATGTCATCTGAAATAAGTTTGTAGGCATTGATTGCTGCAGGAAGGGAGTTTTGGAAGAAAGCAGGCATAGTGAAGCATGGACTGTAGGAGTAGCCTGCTCTCCACTTACTGTGGTACTTTGGAAAACTGACTTGAATTCCATCTATCTCATTTTCTTCATTTGTAATGCTCTTAAGGAGTGATTGATAATAGTAATCAAGTTTCTTATCAAAGAATGAATAGCAAAAGGAATTTTTAGTAATCATTAATTATTAACATATATACTTAAAAATCCATTCATCATGTTTATTCAGAATGCTCTATTTAGTGTTTTAAAGAATATTTAAAAGGATTTTTTAGTTACTCAGTTTTTTTTTCCCCATGCCTTCTTCAAAGACTTTAGCTACAGTTTTCTTTATTGATAGTGTTTTTTCAAGAACATAACTTTTGGATGGGGGAGTAATGCTAAACTGAATAACAAATGTACAGAGCAACTATATTTTTCATTACTTGAAGGTAAACTGGAGTCAGAGTTTGATGCAACTCTATTCACTCTTCCTCTATTAATAAATAGTTATTGAACCTCTTCTACGTATTGATGAGTTAGAGCCATAACAGTGGACAAAGTACATGTAGCTTCTAATGTTACATAACCTAAGATTTTACCTGTAACCATAACGACAAATACTATATAGTAATTTTCTTGTAAGTTTTATTACTATAAAATATGGATGATCTTTGCCTCACAGAATTGTTTGTATCATTAAATTAGATAACACAAAAAGAATGTAGTGGGCCTGGCAGTGTACACTTGCCCAGTATGTGCAAAGTTTTGAGCTTGGTCCACTGATCACCAAAAAAAAAGTGTATGGAGACATATAGTAGTGAACAATCAAATGTTAGTAAGTTGGTCTTCTATTGTGAACACGTGACAAATATAACTAATGGTAGTAGTAATAGAAATGATACACAGTATACTGTGCGGTTCTGTGACATAATGAATTCAAAAGATTTTTGACAATTTATAGTTTGAAAAGTTATAAAATTTGCTATAGTTGTGAGATGAACAAATAAAGGTAATAAAATACAGATTTTTTAAATGAAAATGATATTTTGCAGATTTTTGTAAGTAAAACTTTCTAATAATAGATTATAGTTTTAAATGCTTTATGGCTATTAATCATTAAATATTCTGAAGGCTGAGAGGTGGTTGTTTCCCTGAACTTTATTAATGAGGCAACCAAGGTAGCAATTTTAAGCATTTTGCACTAACTCAGACAGACTACATTACAGGCCTGGCAGCTGTGCTCATGACAATTGTGTATTACTGTGGCTAAAAGAAAATTGGCATTGTAAACACTGTCCCAGTTAAGTTACTTCTAAATATATCTTTTTTTCCTGCTCATTTTTTAAAAATAGCTGTCATGGATGCATTAATAGAAGATGATATCTGTATTCTGAATCATGAAAAGGCTCATAGAAGAGAAGCAGTAACTCCAGTTTCAATATATTCAGGAGACGAGTCCGTTGCGTCACATTTTGCCCTTGTCACTGCTTATGAAGACATCAAAAAACGACTTAATGAGTCAGAGAAAGAGAATTCTTTCCTAAAGAAAAGAATAAGGTTTTTGGAAGAAAAGGTAATTTTTTCTTCTACTTTCATCATGTTTTATGTCATAAATAGTAATTTAAAAATACATGGCACAGTAAGTATTTCTGCCTTGTAGTTGCTTTGTTGGACTAAATTTCCAAGGACAACTTACATGAATCTTTCTTGGGCACTGACGTTATACTGTGTTTCATTTATCATATGCTTAGCAAATATTTTTGAATAGAATTTAACAACTTAGAAAAATTATAAATCACAGTTTTTTTCTTCTTTTCTCAGATTGCCTTTCCTTCGAACCTTCGAAAACCTTATTTAGAATGTTCAAATCTGTGCATAGAAGTGACATACCAGTGAAGGAAATTAGTAAATGATGAAGCTTCTAGAACATTAGTTTAATAAGTTCTTCAACAAGACCAAAAATCTTTATCTCTAACTTCCCTTTTTTCTTCTACACATAATATAAACAATGGTTTTAACCGATAAGTAACTTGCATTTATTTTTTTCATTCAGAATGCTGACTTCTAAATGTTACGAAATATATTTAGGTAACTAATTCACTGTAAATTACCAATCTTAACTTGATTTTATAAATTGGGGGATCTTTCTCAATTGTAACTTTATTTTGGGGGTTTAACATTTTATATTTATATTTTATTTTTATTTCACTTATATTTCTTCAGATCAGATTTGTAGCTTTAAAAAAAGCAACTTCCACAACTTCAGCAACCTACGAAAATAATTATCCTGTACTAAAAAACTTGAGAGACTGTGCTTTTAGGGATCATTTTTCTAGTTCCTTCTGGAGAAGTTCTGAATATAGAGAGCACTAGAAGCCAAGAGGAAAACACACAATGTCTCCTGGCTCTTGGTGTTGTTTTGCTGCAACTGCCTTTTGCCTTGATGACTGCTCTTTGCATCCTTAGGGAAATCGAGAGATGTTGTAAATCAAAAATCAAGAACTTCAGGACGGAGCTTGGTAGAGTTCACTTCCTGTAGAGATGAAATAAAATGGATCAGCTTTAAAAATTACGATAATTTCTTTCTATTGATAGAAATTTACTAGTGATTAAATTTGTGATTTACTGGGATAAAGTAAAAGAAGATAACTCTCTGGCATTCTTAGTTATATTTTAGAATTCAGTAGAAAGGGCCAGGGGTTTAGCTCACTGGCGTAAGCTCCTGCCTGTCAGGTACAGATTCATGAGTTTGATCCCAGGTACCAAAAAAAAAAAAAAAAATGAGATTTGATGTTTAACATTGGAAATTCTGTACTTTATGAGTTTCAAGCCCATTAATTTTTATTCTGGCGTAATGCAAGATTGATAAATTGACATGTCTTTTTCCTTAGAAGAATAAAAGAATGATAATGTTTCTGATGATAAAAATGAAACATTGTAGGCTTGGAAAATGCCTAAGCACTTTAAAAGATTGATGTACTAAGTTATAGTATGACTTAATATATTATAAAACATATACTGTAAATTATAAAATCAGTAAAAGCGTAAAAAAATTATGTGTATTCTGTACTTTCTTAGTTTCTCAATCAGTAAAGATTAATCACTTAGAGATGAAATACTTATTATAGACTGGGCTTTACCCTTGTATTACAACAACTGAACTGAGCTCTAGAGCTGTCAGACTTCTCCCCCATGGTATACCCTCTTAAGCTTTCTTCTGTAATTTCGTACCATTAGCTTGTCGGATCTCGATTAGATGAAGAAACAAGTTCCGTGGGACGAGAGCAAGTGAATAAGGCCTATCACGCCTATCGAGAGGTTTGCATTGATAGAGATAATTTGAAAAGCAAACTGGATAAGATGGTAAGTTGGTCTAAAAAAATAGTATTTTTGTTACAAATGAGTTTCTCTTTCAGGGGTTTTAAAAATAATAAGAGGTTAAATGTTTATATTTATTGATTAAAAATTTAAAATACACCTGTGCAAGGTCAAATGGAAAATTTTAAGTTGTGTTGTAGCTTATTTCAATACAGAAGTAAATAATCTCTTTGTAATGATGTTTAGGACTTAAATGCATCTAACACCACTAATTTATTTTGAAGTCATGCCATGAACTGTGTATATAAGAAAAAAGCCGATGAATAATAAAATAATGTCCTGAGTTGAAAAAGCGTGGAGATTAGTGAGAAACTGAGTACATTTTCCCAACTTATTTTAAAGGCTAGAATAAGTTTTTCAGTATCTACCTGAAAATTAAGATATAATACCGATATATATATTTTTTATTGAATATAATTTGGCATTTTCCCTACTTAAATAGAATAAAGACAACTCTGAATCTTTGAAAGTATTGAATGAGCAGCTACAGTCTAAAGAAGTAGAACTCCTCCAGCTGAGAACAGAGGTGGAAACTCAGCAGGGTATGCCACTTACTTGTTGTAAAAATGCTAACAGTATTAATACATTTTTTTTACTTTGTGTGTTGTATCAGTTTCCTATACCTACATATATTTTATGGACTTATTTTTAATTTTTGGCTTGTTAATTTTTCTGTTTTGTTTTCACACAGTATCAATTTCTTTTAACTTTTTCTTAGCTAGAAACTGTACTTTTCTTTAAATTTGATGGTTGTAACCAGGTATGGTGGTACACACCTGTAATCCTAGCACTCAGGAAGCTGAGGCAGGAGAAGAGCTGCGAGTTCGAGACCAGCCTGGGCTACAAAGTGAGTTCAAGGCCAGCCCAAACTGCATAGTGACACCTTGTCTCAAAAAGACAATAAATAAATAAAATAATTAATTAATTAACTTGATGGTTTTTATTCAGGGCTAGGTTTTGACAAAGTAGAGGAAGAAAGGTGCTAAAACCCCAGCTTCAAGTCAAAACTTCCATTTCACCGATTATGCCCTGCCTTATCCTTTTTCTCTGTACTTTTTAGAAACAATCTTATGAAGTACTTTCCTGTTTTCTTTGTTTCTCTTTCTTTCTTTCTTTAGATTGTTAAAAGATACAGATGAAATTTTGAGGTGGAAAATGTGGTCTTGTGGTTATGGATTGAATGTGTTACCATGAAATAAGCTGAAGAATAGTTTCCTTTTGATAGATAATCTCTTATGATAATCGGTTAGAGTTATTCATGAGTACAAAGACTGAAAAGTATCTTATCAAAGATAAAACGTTTTCTAGTTGTACTGAGTTCTGACTAAGTGGAATGTTTATCAGTGGAATTGTTTTAACGCCATGTTATAAACCATTGGCCAGGCTTTGTTCTGTAAAGAAACTAAATGAAATGATTGAGTCCGTTTATCATTTTTGTACGTATCTTAGTTCTAGCTCATACAGAATAGATGATCAGTCTGTTTACATTGACACATGTATTTGATTAATATGATATATTTAAAAATTTTAAGCTGAAAAATTTATACTTGAATTTAAGAGAAAACGAGGTGGGTGATTAATGCACTCTAAAATAGGATTAGATTTTCTTCTCATTAGCATAATTTTTGAAATTACTGTCTAGTTTACGATCATAACCTTTTTAGAATTGCAATTACTGCAAAAACAGCAGATAACAATTTTGATGTTAATCTTATTGTAGTGATGAGGAATTTAAATCCACCTTCATCAAACTGGGAAGTGGAAAAGTTGAGCTGTGACCTGAAGATTCATGGTTTGGAACAAGAGCTGGAACTGATGAAAAAAGAATGTAGTGATCTCAAAATAGAGCTACAAAGGGCCAAACAAATGGTATTACAAAATTATCACGTTGAGAAATGTATGCTTTGTGCACAATAAAATAACATAGTTATCATTAATTATAACTACTTAGAAATGTTTTCATCAGTGAAAAACTCATTTTTCATGTTTAACTATTTCTGCTAAAATTTATACTCTTTAATTTGACGTTGGAATTACATAATTTTATTTCTAAAAAAGATTTAAAATGCCTATTAAGTTACATAACTGTTCTTTCAAACTCCTTTTCCTTGAGTTTTTTTTTTTCTGTAACATTTAAAAAGAACTCAAGTTTTTAAGTTTCTCATATTTAACTTAATTTGATTTACTTACAAATTGCAAGAGATAAGTTGACTTTTTAAAAAACCTACCAGGTAGCAAGAAAGCTTTATAGGCCCTATTTTTTAGCAGATACACTTTTAGAGAAACTTAATTATCAACAGATAGCCAAAAATTGGAAAGAAAAAAAAAAAAAACAAAACTCCGCCAAGCTTCTTTAGTGTGCTTAACCTAAAGTCATCCACTAAGACACGAGATACTTCTCAGGTTCTCAGCAGGAGTGTGTTTACTAATACTTTGGTTTCTAATAAGCATGGTCATTCTTTCAGATGTCGTGATATGTAGTGCTAAGAACAACAAAGAAAATGATACTGGAGCAAGCGAGTGTGAAAGTTGTACACCAAATAAAAAATTTAAATTAGTTGCCAAAGAAATTGGAAAGACTGGGGCTGGGGGTTTAGCTCAATGGCATAAGTGCCTGCCTTGCAAGTATGCAGTCATGAGTTCGATCCCTGGTACCAATAAAAAAGGAAATAGACAAAAAAAAAAAAAAAAAAAAAGGAATTGAAAGCCTACAAATCTGGAGTAGATAACTATTACAATGCATTTTTGTAATGTAAACTGGGTATAGTATAAACAGTTCAGTAATCCTCTGCTCAGCCATTTTGCATAGCATTTCAATTCTATTGAGCAACTGTGCCTCCTATTTTTTATTCCTCTGGGATCCCTCCATCTAAAAAGGAAGTGCTTCCCGTATATCTTCACTGCCAGCTAGGATGTTGCCTGAATCCCAAATGTCCTTATGTGGAGCCAACACTTTGTTCTTCTATGGTCTTTAGCAGACATAGCCACTGGATAAGAATGAGCCAGGTGTAAGAATAAAATAGCCATATGCCTTGGCCTTAACCAGACAAATTTCCTCTGTACAAGGCAGTGAGAACTCACTTGGGAGACCCCATTTTGGAACTGTTATAAAGGGAAAACACTGATAATTGTTGTCAACTCTTATTAGAGCCAAAGTGTGTTTTGTTTTTTCTCTTCCTGTTTCACATTGGAAGTTGATTCTTCCGGCTTAGAATGAGGCCAGTGACATACCACCATTTCTTCAAAGGCTTCTATTCTCCTGTTCCACATGGCCATTACAGGGCCTCGGAGAGCCTTTTGAGAAGACACATTTATAAGAAAATATTTGTAGTTTAAACCTCTAGATTATAATTGTCTATATTATACTTGAAGTAATTTGATAGCTCTTCATGGATATATTATTGTAAAGTAGGAAGCAATGTTAAGGAATAATGGAAATCTGGCTTATAAATTGCATTGCTTATTTACTGTATACCATTAGGAATATCATTGCACTTTTCAAGAAACATTTTCTGTGGGCATTACCATTTTTTTAATAAACATTAAATTACTATATGTAAAACAGTTAATCTAGTGCTCAGGACATATATGCTGTCTTCAATAAGTAAGTGTTTTTCAGAAAAAAAATGGTTAGACTAATCCAGAAAGGCAGTGCATTTAAGTGTTTGTGTATTAAGGATTAGGGGTAAAATTCATTCTTAACTTGTTATTCTTTTCCACTAGATGGTGCTAGGGAATAAATTTACTTCTAGTTTAAATCTGTCCTAAGCAGTGAGATCACAGGAATAGTTTTAGAAAAATCTAAAAGTCCCTTCAACTGATGATGAAATGAAATCTGAGAGGCAAGAAACTTTTAAGAGTTGAAGGTGAGATTAAGGAGGAATATTGAAAGGGGGGGGAGATGTAAAACATAGTCCTTGCTTTCATAAGCATTTATTAGTGATAGGGAAGGCTGTGAAAGAGCAATGCCTATCCTAACATAAAGAAATGAACCAAGAAAATGAATAAAGGAAATACCAATTTATCAGGTATTCCAAGTTGAAATCCTGTTACTGTGGGATATGTACTTTTAATAAATGTCTTATTTCAGAGGTGTTGCTGATTGGAATCCTCTTGGATGTGGGAATCTGAGAGCAAGGCAAAGACATTCTGTTCACATTAAAAAACTTAAATCTACTGTAGCTGTATTCACAAGTATTTTTAAGATGGTACTTTCTGTGAAACACACTTTTAGTACCTCTTGAAGTATCCTGCATGGATTTATTGCTTTTTTATTTTTTGGTTTTTTAGTGTTTAATTAGTGAATTTAGTTAATTATGGTTTGGTGTTAGATTAGGGTTTCAAAAGTAAATACGCTTGGGACTTTAGATGTTCTGTGTCCCTAGTATTCTAGCCATTTACATTGAGAACAGTTTTGATAACTAGGAGAAATACGGATTCAGAGCTGAAAAAAGTATAAGAAATACTAGATTAGTAAAATGGAGTTGATACAGATGTCTGAGGTTCTTAGTAAAAGCCTGTGTAGAGATTTACAATAGGCTGTATGGTGTTAAAAGTTCTAAGAAGTCCTGTACTATTAGGAACCAGTATAATGTGAACATTATTTCCTAATACTTTGTAGCCAAGAATGCTCATTTGTCAGAATTCCATGCCATATTGTACAGCTTAGGAAACATCCAATACTGCCTTCAAAACCCTGACAACTGATTGGTGGCCATGAAAAAGATTTCAATATGAGAAACAACCTTTTTAAGCTTATTACTGATTTACATTAGATTTTTCTGAGTTGTTGGTAGCTGGAATTATTTTCTTGTTCAAACTGTTTTTGTTTTTGTTTTGTTTTTTGGTTTGGGTTTTTTTTTTTTTTTTTTGCATTTTTGGCTTTTAGAAATGAGGAAAATTTTCCCATGAACATATATGTATACACATACAGTAATGAAACTTTTTAAAATTAATGATACAAAGAAACTAAAAGTACTGACTAATTCAGTTCTGATGCAAAATAGGACAGAACAGTATCCAAGGACATTGCTTTGTTGGTGTCATGACTCTCCTGACTGATGGGCCAGTTCTTTTTCTCCTCCCTCCATAGAGCTTTCCACAATGCACTTCAATTTTTAAATTAAAATTAGTGACCCAAAATTGTCTTAACTCCTTTAAAACACACTTTTATTATTTTACTGTCACATTTGAAGTTGTTATATAGTTTTTAATGTTCACTTTAAAACTTGTAATTTAAGTAAAATTAAATTCTATTTTCATAACTTGTAAGTATAGGGACTTTATGAAGTTCTTAGCAGTATATTTTGTATCTGTGGAGAGAGAGAAAATTTATGCTGATCTTTCTAAACAGTAATCTAATATTTTTTGGTTATAATTCAAAAACATGAAATAACCAGGGAGTTCCATTCTCCCATGCAGTTCATTCATACCTGCCTCGAAAAACAGTAATATAAATACATCATACTTTTTAAAATACAGAATTAAGGTTGGTATGTGCAGAAGTAAGTTTGTAAGAATCCCATTTCTTCTATGTGAGAGTAGTTTTTATTATAGAAAGAAAAACCATTAATGGTCTAAATAATTCAATATGATTTAGAAATTTATGAGATAGTTTTGTTGTATTTCATTAAAATTGAGTATGAAATCGTTTTATGCTCTATAATTATAGATACACGCTGTAAAAGTTGAAACATCTCTGTAAAGAGCTGCACATAAATAAAATAAAATAATTCAACTTTTTAAACTTTCCATTTTTTAAACAAATGACAGGATTCATCTCAAGACAATCTGAAGAGTAGCGATCTCCAAGGACTAAGCATTTCAAGGTATGCACATTCTTCACCATTAGAATATACTTTCTTCCATAGGTTACTGTGTGTTTGTACCTAAATTTCTGTTAGTTTAACCTTAATAACAAAGCAAATGGATACTATTTGGATACTGAATGTAACCTCTGATTAGCATATATTTATAAAAAACATTGAACAGCAGATTTGATCTTAAGTGTTAGGTACACATTTAATGTCTTAAAATTTCTGAACATTGGGGCTGGGTATTTAGCTCAGCGGCATAAGCGCCTGCCTTGTAAGTGTGTGGTCGTGAGTTCAATCCCTGGTACCAACAAAAATGAAAAAAACAAAAAAGAAAAAAAATTTGAACATTAAGTATTACTTTAGATAAAATTTTAAGAAACTAGCTATTTGAAAGTATTTGTAGTAATTCATGATTTTGTACGTGAGGAATTACACATGTCCATATAGTAATATACTTTTGTCTTAAGGGCAAACTTGGACAGTCTTAATCTTTGTGGTAGCATGAATTTTAAGATAAGTTTCTTTTAAGTGTCACGCGTTCATGTTATGTATTTATTTCAGTTTTTACTGAAGTGACAGCTTTGTTTTAAATGAATTAATAATTTTTGTTTCTACTATGTTAGGATGGCCTCTCTACATGTATACCTTCCATCCAATGAAAATTACTGACTTACCTTCAGTGTTAAATCGTTTGGCCTCCCAAGTTTATTGACCTAAATAAAATGTGAATCATCTCAGACTATTCCTTCCAAAGCCTGCTTGAGAGGAAGATCACCTAGGGAAACAATTTGAGGAAGTGACATGCAGCTGCTCTTCCACGTCAGGAGTGGGCAGACTTCTTTCTGTGCAGCACCGAGGCCGCGGGTCTAGTGCTGTTACTCAGCTCTCCTGTGTGAACATTTCAGTTACTCCTTCTCAGTTTTACCTGCATTTACAAAGAAGTCTTTCCCTTTTTTTTTCTCCTCAGCGTGTCAAATACCATGTCCATGTAAATTTTTTATAATTTGTCTTCTTTATCAGAGTTACCTTTTCTATCAGTCCAGGTTTGTCATTTTTACAAGCTACTTTAAATCATTTTTAGATAAAAGCAAGGAATTGATAAATATGCCAGAATCAGTGTAACTCAAATTAGATGTAAATAGTATAGAATAAGACTTTTGCTTCCTTTCATTGTGGTTTACTTAATTAGGGTCATTTCTATTGAGAATGTTTTGAAAAGCTGCCTCCTGCACACACACACACACACACACACACACACACACACACACACAGAGTTATGCCTGTTTGAAGGCATCAGACACCTAACAAGATAGTGAAACATCTCTGTGCCAAGATATAGGGAGGTTAAACACCAAGGAGGTAAGTCCAGTGTTTTTGAGCTATGTCAACAAATTGCAGTCTTTTATTCACTAAAGTTCAGTATCAATTCTAAGGGTCATCTAAAAAAAAACAATTTTTGGAAGGTATTGCCTTAAAAGTACGTTGTGGTAGCACTTGGAGCATGAGACTAATTTTGTCAAGGCACATAAATGTGGGTCAGACCCATGTTTATTCTTTATAGCGAATTTCTATTGATGAATTAATTTTATTAGTTTTATAATATAAAACAATGAATACTCAACAGAAAAAAATAAAATACTGTTTATAAAGCATCAAAAGTTTGAGCATCAACTGGTTTTTGGTGTACAAAATCTAGTAAAAGCATCATAAGTAAATTCCCACATGAACCACAGTGAAAATACCAATAGCATTCAACAAGGCAGTTTGCACAAAGGACCACAGCTCGAATGATACACACATCGCTTTCACTGACAGCACGTGTCTTGCTTTTCTGGCCTTTTTATAGGGCATACTTGACATCTCAGTGGTCTTGCTGTTCTGTCAGGAGGTTAGTATACAGTGTGTAGTTACCGGGAACATAAACTATCAATAAAGTTAGTACATTCTTAATATGTATTGGGTTTAGAATAGACACTTTCACATCAGCTGTGTACTTCCTTACAAAACCTAAAAGATAACATCAGAAATTCCCTCATGAACTACAATGAAAATACTAATAGAACTGTGCCATAAAAATAAATTTTGCGTCAACTGTCACATCCAAGGCAGTCTTCACACATGGCAACTGCATGTTCCACATACGAGTATCGCTTACACTGAAAACAGTCTTGTCATCTCTTCTCTTCCTGTGTTGTCAGCTTCCTAGTGTACAACATGTACTGAGAGAAATAAAATGTCAATAAAACACAATATCAAATATGTAATGAGTGCTTAAAATAGACATCAGTATTTTTATATCAGCTGTTAATTTATAAAACCTAAAAGATAACATCAGAAATAAAAACCTGTGTGAACTACAGTGTAAACACAAAGTATCACAGAAATAAACTTTGCTTCACTATCACACCCCAGGCACTCTCCACACAGCTGCATATTCCAGATACAGTGACTTATACTGCTAGCGATGTATGTTTTATGTTTTCCTTTACTTTCTCGTAAGGCACAATGGACATCTTTTTTGTTATTGTAATAGGTCTTTATGATGCTGCACCTGCTTTTAACCTGTTAGCTCATCAATGTGCTCTGCAGTTTTTTTGCTTAGTTCCCTGGGCAGAAATACTTTTCCTCTGCTGTAAATGATCTTGTATCATCTCCAGTCCCAGTCCCAGTCCTGTAAGAAAGTTTCTGATATTTTGCACTTGTTTTCTTTGTAAAACTACTAAACTAATTATGCCACATGTGTTTAGGATTGGATAAAATGATGCTTTTTGTGCTTTGCTGCATAACATCAAAAATTGCGTTTGGTTTTGTTGTTGAAATTGCCATCTCAGATTTCCATTTTGTCAGGGTTTCCCCAACAGTATTTCCATCATGGTGAAATGTTGACATCAGCAGTATCAGTTTTTTTCTTTCTTTCTCTCTTGTTTTTTTTTTTTTGTTTTTTTTTTGGTTTTTTTTGTTTTTTTTTGTTTTTTCCATCTAAGAGGCAAAGCTTACTGTTAGGTCTGAGAAGAGCGGAGAGGAAGAGGGGAAGGAAGGGAAAGAGGTCCGTGGAAGGAGTGGAGTGGACGGCAGTGGGCAGCGGTGGCTGCAAAGATAAGAAATATAAAATATAAGTAACCTTTATTTCAGGAGTGCGGGAAGAGGACCCCCCGGCCCCGGGGTGCAGCATCTCCACCCCGGGGCCGGTGGTCTCTCTCTGGAACACACTCTCCCTTTCTCCTTCTTCTTCACGTGGAGTGAGGCCCATAAGTAGCCTCTGTCTGGGGTGGACCTTAAGGGGCATTAGGGATGCACAGGTATTTCATTGGCACACGTTTGGCACCAGGGACAGGTTCTTAGGGATGGGGGTATAGGGTTACAGGTAAATCTATAGGGGCGGGGGAGGCAGGAGCCCCCTAACTTGGCTGAGGCTTTTCCTGGTTAAAGTGTCCAGTCTGGGCCAGCAACTCTTTCACTTACAACTTTCTGAAATAAAAATATTATACTGTAACAGCTCTCTGTTTTGAAGTTGCAGCATTTCATTTGCTGCTTTGTTCTGCTTTGTTCCCATGTACAATTACTGTGTTGGTCAACTTGTGCTGTTACCAAATGTAACATCAATTGGAAACCCAAAAACCTGTTGTCAAATATCACATTCCAGTTTGGGAGATGAGAGCACCCAAGTGTGTTCACATTGCATTCAGTTTATTACTATCTGAGTAAGAACCTGGTGGCTAAGTTCCAGGATACATGTCTAAATTGAAAGAAAACGGCTTTGCATCTACAAGAGCATACATAAAAGTCATATATTTACTCATCACTTTCCATAAGCCTTTTACATTCTTGGAATTACCATGAGAAATCTGTGTGTTAAGTACAGCAGTACCATAGTGATTTCAGTTCAGCTCGTAAGGGTTCATAAACACATTTTGAATAGGGCTATTGCTGCATGTAGGTTTTACTTGCATTTCTGCCTTTGTGTATTTCACAGCACCTTCTAGCATTTTATATGTTGCAGTTTCCAACATGTAATGGTAGTGCTGGCATTCTGTCCAATATGTTTGACTCTTGTCAAGACCTGAACTGTATTTGGGGACCTGGTTCTAACACTGTATTCTATTCAGTTATGTGGCTATTTTGTAGCATTTTGACTAGTCAATATACATTCACATTGCTGTTTTGTCATCAGAACCAAGGAGGTCTGCATTCCTTTTTCTTTATCAGTTGATTTTTACTCCCTTTCATTGTCCCAGGAGCTTTGGCTTCCAAGACCAACACTAAAGTCATCATCATCATACACTTACACCACTCTTCTGTTTATGTTATGAAAGCATGGATTTGACCATTATGGATCATCCTCATCACCCATGCATGAGTCATGTGATGATTCACTTTGTTCTCCAATACTTGGAAATCTGGTTTTTCATTGTGCCATTGGACTGCTATATCAGAAAACTCAAAAGAAAACTTTTTTTTAAACAAATCTTAGAGTGTTGTGGGTCTTTTGGACACTGTGATGCTTGAGTAAAACCAGTTAGATGGAACATAGAGATGGGTCCAAAACCTATTTTGACACTTTGGCACACATGCATACTCCTTGCTGTTTATCATACCAATTGGGTAAACAGTGCTTCCCGTATCCTTCAGGGTTAAGGTACTGAGGCACACATCTGGCTACTGTTACACTAAAGTACAAATTTACATAGAAAAGCAAGAGATGGGCTCAGTGAACCCAGTGTTATGCTCTAAAGGCATCCCAAGGATGCATGTTTACAGAACAGTGCAATTAAAGCAGGTCCTAATGGCTTTCCCTTCAGTGGTCAGGTGTGCATGAGGCAGGGGTGGGGGGGTTGTGGATTGGGGTTTTTTTTTTGAAATTGGTTGGGAAGTTGCCTTGTCCATTTTTAGGTGAAACAATTTAGGTAAATGTATTAAAGTATATGGGAATATTTCTAAGCTTAGATATTTTAAAAGGCATTTTTCAGTTATTTGAAACATTCCTTTTGGTGAACACTCCTTTTTTAAAATCACTACATTACAGCGCAAACAATGTACTGCATCCTTTTAAATAGATTGAACATTATAATTACAGGAAGCCTTTTATAACATACTACATAAAAAGATCATTTAATAACAGCCTTATAAGAACTTTAGCCAGTATTCTTTGTCATATTTTGGTGTTAGATTTAAATCAATAACTTCAGTTTAACCAGGTCTGGGCATAAGATTACTGTACTTTTTATTCATCTGTGTATATACTGTGCATCTGTTACAGATGACACATGAATATGTAAATCATTGGTTTAGAAAACAAATTAGGTTACTGTATTTCAACCTGTTTCCTTACTGATCATGAAAATTTGTGATATAACAAGTGTTTTTAAAGTATAGAATAAAACAAAATATGATGCATTAGAGTATATTATACATAACAAGTGTACGTGTGGGGTCTTTGCAAATGTGTTTTTTGGGTTGCAGTGTAAAAAGATTGCTATGATTGCAATCAGTGTTTAAAAGATAATTGAGTGAATCAAAGTTGTCAAAATGCATTATTTAAAATTTTACAAATCTTAGCTATGAACATCTCTTAGTATAATTTTAGTTCTTGTAGGAGGATATAATCATTAAGAAAACAGCTTTTAAACACCTTAATTTATAATCAGGACATGTCAGATTCTTTCATGAGTTGCCAACAAGCAGGCTTTATTAAATGTCATGGTAGTGAAGTTTTATACTGAGACATCAGTTGGTGCTTTAAGTTGATAATATGAGAAAAGCTATTCTACACGAGCAGTAATCATTCATTAGATTGCATTAGTAACAGCTTTGACAAGCAACACAGGAGACTGGAGTAGACTACTAAACCTGTTTCCTTATGTGCAAAATGAGGTTACTCACTTTGCTAGACTGTTGAATATGGATGAAATATTTAGCACTTAATAAATACTTAACCATCGTTTTTGTTTCATTGTTAATACTGAGCCAAGCAATCTCTTTGGAATGCTTGATTGTTACATTTCAGTGTTCAAGATAGTTATATAGTTGTTTATAGACAATTTTAGTAGGATTTTGCTTGTGTGTTATTTAAAGCTTGATACTCCCAGGTCATAAACTACAGTGAGGTGGCATGTGCTCTATGCAGTCTTAAAAATACTTAGGCAAAATATTTAATGATTCAGAGTTAGTTGGAATCCTGTTAACAACTTGAAATAGCTTGCCTTTTCCAGTCTCTCTTAAGTAATGGTTTAAATATTTCCTTAAAGCAGATGAAATTAAAGATTTTATATACTTCAAATGTTACTTATTGTAACTGTAAAATTGGTAACAATAATTGCAATTACTTTGGTATCCACAAGAGGGAGAGCTTATACTTAGTAATAATCAGACTTCTATATTTTTAGTTTTCAATTCAGATGTCAGTAAAGGCAAAAGAGAGAAAGACTAGATGTGTGTTAAACTCCATGACCTAATTTTCAAGTGGTCTTCATTAAATTGAATTTAAATATCCATTAGACACTGATGATTCTTTTGTAATTATTTTTCTATTTTCCATGCCTACCTATTTTAAATGATTAGATGCTAGGTATTTCTACACCAAACATTACCATAGATAGTTTGTTTTTTTCAAATGTGGTACTTATTTACCATCTTATGCCAGTAATAAAACTTTTTTTTTTTTTTTTTTGGTACCAGGAATTCAACGTAGGACCTGTACTTGCCAGGCAGACACTGTGTCATTGAGCTGTAATTCCAGCCCTATATTTTTAAACTGTACTAGTCACATTATGACTGAATGAATCAGCACAAGTACTGTGTTTATACTCAACTGCTGTGTAATTTAAGTAACTCTTTGTAAAACATTCTTTTCTAGTGAACCTCTCAGATGTCAGGTGAAGTAGAGTTGGTTAAGCAATCTTTGTGAGAATTATTTCACATCTTTCAAAAAGCCCTGTGATTTTTAATACACTGTGAGTTAACAGATGACGTTCACAACAGACTAAAACAAGTAGAATTTTCTCCAAAGCAGTATAAAGTATATTGTGCTAATTATGTTGGATAAATTATAGTCCTCAATAAAACTGAAACATTTTGACAGAAAAGATACCAATCTAATGTAATTCAAAATAATTGTTTTTAATATATGTTGGTGCTTCTGCTATTAGGGTATAAAGGTTTTAGAAGGGTTAACCTTTAGTAATTTTTGTTTAATGGCTGAACAAAAATTCAAGCATGGGGTGACATGTTTGTTTAGTTTGACATTGATATCTCTACAAAGCAGTGCTGGCTATCTGAATGCTATGAAATGTCATTTTTACATTGAATATGGTATATATGCTTGTACAGCAAAATGATAATGTATGCTGAAGATTTCCACTCACTTGGCAGTTAAACTGACAAAAACCATGAATGTCCAAGTAAATCTATTTACTGAAAATTAAACCTTTTAAAAATTAAAATAAAATAACTGCGTTTCCTCAGCTAGTTAAGGTAAAACATTTTTAATTATAAAAATCTGTAAGACGTTTTAGAAGTTTTGTTTCATAGAATCTCCCTCTCGAGCTCTTTTTAGTTTATAAAGAAATCTGGCTTTTCCTATCTTGTGCTGTCATGTCACATTGGTTTAGAAGCAACAATATGAGACAGCCCAGTCAAACATAAAAGAATGTAATACATGAAACCTAAATTTTAATGTAGATTTGGATATATGTTTTGCAATTGATACATCATTTCAATACATAATGTCAAAACCAAACAAATGCAGATTTGAAATACATGAATATATGAATTAATACAATATATCTTGTACAGGTAT